AAGGGGAGCAAAGCAACAAAGTCCCTGAGGAATTCTGAAAATGGACTTCGGTTAGGGGGGTAGGGCTTGGCACAGCATTGAACCCTATCAGAAAACATTTATAAGGGTTAGCAGACAGACTTGGCTTTTCTCATAGATTTCTCTCTCTCTGTCTCTCTCTTTCTCTCTCTCTTTTCCCATGTCTGTCTATAGACGATAGGCAGGATAAACAATCCTGAGGAGAAAACAATGGGATCAATGGTTCTGGGGTAGGGGTGGGGAGGCAGAGAGGAGAGGGGAGGCAACAAACCCAGAAACAAGGGGACAACAAGAGACCTAAAATTGATGGTGAGGAGGGCACAGAATGTCTGGTGGTGTTCGCTCAAGTGCACTGCAGCCGAGAGGAAGTACAGAGAGCCGAATGAAGGTTGAACATGATAGTGGGACAGGAGGAAAGTGGAAAGGAAATAGAGGAAAGAACTAGGAGGCAAAAGACATTTATAGAGGTATAAACATATGTAAATATCTTAATATATAATTATAGGGACATAGGTCTTTGTACATATATTTATAGGGTAAGTATTAAGGTAGCAAAAGGATATTGGGCCTCTATTCAAGTACACCCTCGATGCAAGAACTCTTTATTCTACTAATCTGGCATTCTGTGATGCTCACCTTTCCAACACGATCACTGAAGACAAAATGGGTGCATAAGCTAATGTGATGAAGAAAGCTGATGGTGCCTGGCTATTCCAAAATATAGTGCCTGGGGTCTTAAAACCTTGAAGTTAAACAAGCAGTCATTTAGCAGGAAAGCAACAAAGCCCACATGGAAGAAGCACACCAACCCGTGTAACCACGGGGTGTCTATGGGACCAGGTATCAGGCATCAGAAGACCCAAAGCAAACAACCATTTTGATGCGAACAAAGCAGGGCAGAATGGAGACCCAAAGTCCATCTGTAGACAATTTGAAATTCACTCCCAGAAGGGTCACAAGGAAGGGATGAGTCAGCTAGGGTGCAGAATAGCACCAACGAAACACACAACATTCCTCTAGTTCTGTAATGCTTCCTCCCCCCACTATCATGACCCCAGTTCTACCTTACAAATCTGGCTAGACCAGAGGATGTACACTGGTACAGATAGGAACTGGAAACACAGGGAATCCAGGACAGGTGATCCCTTCAGGACCAGTGGTGAGAATGGCAATACCGGGAGGGTGGAGGGAAGGTGGGGTAGAAAGGGGGAACCGATTACAAGGATCTACATATAACCCCCTCCCTGGGGGACAGACAACAGAAAAGTGAGTGAAGGGAGACAGTATAAGACATGACAAAATAATAATTTATAAATTATCAAGGGTTCATGAAAGGAGGTGGGGTGCGGGGCGGGAGGGGAAAAATGAACTGATAACAAGGGCCCAAGTAGAAAGCAAATGTTTTGAGAAGGATGATGGCAACAAATGTACAAATGTGCTTGACACAATGGATGGATGGATGGACTGTGATAAGAGTTGTACGGGCCCTCGATAAATGATTTAAAACAACAACAAAAACCAAATAGACAATAGTGACTCGAGATGTTAGAAGGCAGCTCGGGACAGCGAGCTTCTGCTAATAGTGGAGGAAGCATTCAGCGAGGGGAGGTGGGGATGGTCGCACAATTGAGGAAAGTCATCCCTGTCACTGAATGAGGCACAGAAATGTGCTGAATTTAGGTGTTGTTTAACGTGCATATTTTCACCACCAACAACAAATAAATTATGTATAAAACAAACATTGATGGCATTACTATTTATCTGGGAGCTGTATTCCCATTGCACAGAGAAATGTCTAGCGCACAATAAGTGCTCAGCATGTATTTGTTGAGTAAATTTGTAATGGCAAAAAGTAAATGCAAAAATAAATAAAAAAAATGTTTGCACCCCTTCTTCCAAACATCATGTTGTTATGGGAAAATAAGTATTATGAGGAAGCCCACAGCATTATATAATTGCCAAATTACATCATTATATAACTGCCAAACTACAGAGGATCATAATTCAGCCAACCTGACACGTAACTTGAACCCGAATTTCAACCCGTATTACTCTCATAGATTTTTCATGATTGCAAAATCTACATGGTTAATGCTCAAAAGTCAGATAGTAGATTGTTTTTACAACTGTTACAAATATGAACCATCAGACAATGATGTAGACAATTAGTGAAGAGTAGGTGTATTTTTAAAATGAGTCTGTAATAGTAATAATAATAGCTAACATTACTATGTGCCAACCACTGTTTGAACCATTTTACATGTATTATCTCATTTGAGCTGCATAATGATCCTCGTTATAAGGTACGAGCATATTTCTGGTCCTTATTTTAAGGAAACGAAGGCACAGACAAACAATAGACAGGCCTATAAGGGAAACAATAACACCTGTGAGGTATGTACACCTTAGAATAATCAACCATTTGTGATCAAGAGGCAGTATTTGCCCAAGGACAGAGTTCAGAATGGTTCACTCACTGACACTGAGTCAATTCTGACTCCTAGTGACCCTACAGGACAGGTAGAACTACCCCCATGGCTAACTCGATAAGGGAGTAGAAAGCCTCATCTTTCTCCCATGGAGCAGGTGGTGGTTTCAGACTACTGAACTTGAAGTTAGCAGCCCAACGCATTACCCATTATGCCACCAGGGCCCCTTAAGAAAAGTTAGGGTAGAAGAAAGGTGGATGTGGGAAAGACAGGGCAAAGGCAGGATGAGGGGACTTGCATTGAAGGGATTGCAATCAATGTGACAAAGGAAACTGTAAGAATTGTTGAATGTAAAACTGAATGTAAACCTGCACCCAATTCATAGTAAAGGTAAAAATGGATAAAGTACATAAACAGATATATAGAATAATCTCTGGCATTAAGATTTCACTAAGGGAGGTGATTAGGGAAGGGAAAAAGAAAGGCTATATAAATTGCTGAAAACCAAACAGCAAGGAAGAGCCCAAATAAGATTCCATTTCAGAGCTGTCTGACTCCAGAATCTGTTCCAGATAATATTAAGTGCAAAATAATAGTCACAAAAGTGAAGCATTTAGCACCGAGAGAGCATGGAGTAGAAGAACAACTTGGAATTGGTCTAGCATGAAAAAAATGAATTCTTGAGCCCTTTCATTCTTTTGAAATGTAGTACTTGCTTTCTATAAGAATAGCAAAGAAGGCTCATCTCGCAACTCTGACTGTTTGGACAATGGCTGCCTGGGACATTATGTGAACCAAGATCCTGAAGTCACAACTTCGTTGGGCAGGAAAGGGTATGATGGTCAATCACGGAGAGCTGACATGTATGAGTAAGGGAAGGAATGATAAGGTGTCTACGTGATACATATTTACGTCTATCACTATGGACACATTCGAGCTAGGTGTTTTACATGTGTTCTATAATTTGATCCCTATCAAACTCTGTGTTGAGTGTTATTTACCTTATAAGGATGGAAAAAGAGACGCTGAGAGAATTCGAGTAGCTTGGCCAAACTCACACAGCCAGGATCGCAGTTGGATTCTCCAGGTCCAGGAACCGTGCTTTTTCTTCCATGCTTCTCGTAGGAGTGTTGGCCTGAGCTCTTGAAAGAGACGGTGGACACAGATGAGCGGAAATGGCCCGCAATAGAGACAGGCCCAGGCGATACACAGAAGTAGGATCAGCCAGTCACAAAGAAGACATGAAGCAGATTGGCTTGACTCAAGCAGGGGTACATCACAGGGCAGGAATCATAGGAGAGTCAAAGACGCAGGGCCCAGCTGATGAAAAGCTTTGAAAAGACTCTCTTAAGATTTATGATGCTGAGTTTGTTTACAGAGAGCTGTTAGAGCAATGGAGGATGACGTGGGGACAGTAGTAGGTTTCTGGGCTTTCATTGTCTTCTCCTCTCTCCCTCCCTTCTACTGAGTGGTCCTTCATGGACTATGCCAATTGTTTGCTTGCTAACATACTTCCTGAAAAGAATTGGGGCTCACTGGCTCTCTATCCATTTTCTTACATTTGTATTATAAAAGATAGATATGCATATTGCCCCCCCAAAAACCACTTAAGTAATAAAAAGTAAAGTACAAAGTAGCACCCCCAAACTTTAATCCTATTCCAAAAGGTAACTGCTATTAATCGTGACATATGCCCATTACGATTAAATATGTTATTATTGTTGTTGACTGCTGTGCAGATAGCCCTTGGGGAAACATTGCATAACCCAAGATTGTAGCTCAGATTATTGTGATCCATTGTTTGTTTGTTTGTTTTTGGCTGATTCATGGAAGCAAATATCAGGCCTCTCTTCTTATTCTGTTGCACACATATACAAAATATAGTTATTTATCCCTTCAGGATATAAATAAACCTGAAGACAGAAATACATTCTGGTGGTGTCCTGGGTTACACATTGGACTACTAACCACAAGGTCAGCAGTTCAAAACCACCAGTCCACTCCACTAGAACAAGATGAGGCTTTCCACTCCCATGATGATGTCATCTCAGAAACCCACAGGGCGGCAGTTCTTCTCTGTCCTATAGGGTTGCTAGGAGTCCGAATAGACTCGATGGCAGTGAGTTGGTTTTTGGGGAGCAAAGATAAGCAAGAGTCCTTTAACCCCTCCTGCGATGGACTGTCAAAGTTAGAATGAAAGGGATTCTTACAAGGGCAGAGGCTTGGTGCCATCACCTCGCCCTCCTTTCCCCCACGTCAGCATAGAAGAGATCCTCATAGATTCCAGGGCAGTGCCCCTGAAGAAGAAAAGGATGGAGTGCTTATTCAGAGCCTTGGAACCCAACACACAAGGACTCACTTTATCTTACCAATCATAGCTCATTAAAGAAAGATTACTGAAAGGTTACCAAAGGGACCCAAGCTTTTCTTTTTTCTTTTTACTGGACACTCCTCTTTCTGGGAAGGGGCTATGGGTCCCCAATGGGAGCCTGATCTGTGCCGCTGCTGGTTTGAGGACACTCTGCCCTCACTCGGATTCATTTTTATTTGCAGCTGTCAATGGGCATGTTAGGTTTTGGCTTCATTGCCACTTACCTCCCGGATTCTGTCATCAATGCTTACCTGGCTGCCACAGCGCTCCACATCATGCTGTCCCAGCTGACGTGCATCTTCGGCATCATGATTAGTTTCCATGCTGGCCCAATCGCCTTCTTTTACGTAAGTAATTTCACCCCCAATTACCAGTGCCCCAACCTGTTCTCCAAAGAAAAGTGGACCAAGCAGACCCATTCCCAACAGGCGCCATGGCCCACAGGTTAGGAGGGTTCTAGATGCCACTGCTTTTCTGGGGGATGGGAGATTGGCTAACAGCCCGTGTCAGTTGGGCCATGCCCTCAGTTACAGTAACCATTTCAAGCCCACCCTTCATACTAGTACAGTTTACATCATAGCTTCCCAAACTGATTTGGCCTGCTGCTCCCTTCTCAGGGGTGTGGTGGGGGTGGTGGGGGACTTACTCAGCTCCACCACCTAGCCATTAAAATTTTTTTTTATACTATAGTCCCTAATCCAGAATGTCTGCATTTGCAGCTGCCCTGGGTCATTCCAGCACCCACACTGGGAAGCAATGTTTCACATCAAGATTTGGCCTTTGAAGTGGACAGTGGTGATGGTTTCACAGCATGACTAATGCAATTCATAGCACTGAAACATAGCTCAAATGGCAAACAACTTGCTCCTGCGTAGAGTGAAAGCTGTAAGAGCCGAACTCCGTTTGGCTTGCCTTGTTTTTATCAGGTCTCACCGCGTCCACCTTCTATCACTGTCTTTTCATGGGAAAACATTGCGTTCTTCTTCTCAGACACATTCCCACCATTCATGGGCTCCTACGCCCGCTGATTTCATTGTATGAGGACTTGGTCTTTAATGCCTCCCAATGCATGCCATCTAATAGGCATGTTTTCTAAAAGAGCCAAAGAATGCATATCACTAAGAGCTCCCCGACTGCACGAGTGAGCCAGCGAGCGAGGTAGGAGCTAAGTTAGAGTTTGACAGCTGGCAACCTTCAGTGTGTCAGAGAAGGGCTGACACACTGTGTCAGCTGTGCTCCTTGAGGTTTTCCTTGGCTCGTTTTTCAGACGTACAGGAGGCTTCAGAAAGTCCGTGGACCAGTGGACTGAAAAGATCATGGAATTTCCCCACTAACCTTTTAAAGCGCTCCCCACCCCCACCTCGTAGATCACCAGCTATCTCTTCCAACGTCCCTCTGTGTGGACTTAGACCTCCGTGTGGTTAGTGGCCAAGCACATTAAGCATTAACACGGCCCAGGGACTTCATGTGACACGTAGGGTCTGGGAGGATGACGACGACCGTGTCTGTTATCCTGAAGCATAGTACTATCTCCCCACTGGGCAGTACTGTGTATTTTCCCACTAGGAAGCAAAACAATCCGCAGGCACAGCTGCCCTCACGGTTGTAGTCATGCCCAACACACAACAAACACAGAACTCTGTGGTTCCCAAGCCTCCTTTTTGAACGAATCGAGGAAGATGATCATTTCCCAGACTTTGGCCAGGCTATCCCTTGGCACAGTGGCTGCAACAATGGGCTCTAACATTGTGAGGATGGCCCGGGACCCAACAGTGTTCTGTTGTACACAGGGTCGCTCTGGGTCGGGACAGGCTCAACAGTGCTTAGCGCCAAAACCACATCCTTTGCTCAAGCTCTGTGATTTCGTTTTCTTCCAGAACATAATCAACTACTGTATAGCTCTACCAAAAGCTAACTCCACCAGCATCCTGCTGTTTCTCACTGTGATGGTCATTCTGAGAATCAACAAATGCATCAAAATTTCCTTTAATCGATATCCCATCGAGTTTCCCATGGAATTCCTACTGGTAGGTTTATTGATGCCCCCGCCCCTGGGCCCCCCCCCACCCCCCTGCCCCCCCTGTCGTTCATGGTTCTGGTCATTTTAAATACCGACTTTTTATTTATTTATTTGTAAAACCAACTTTTCTTTCCCAATTAGATAGAAAGCAAGTGCCCCAGGAAAAGGAAGGTTCACAAGAGCCTATAAAGATAATAATTTTTCAAATAAACATTTAAATCAAATCGTGACAAAGCTGAACCCATTCCATCTGGGATTCAAGCTTTCATTTGTGGAATCTGTGTATTTCCAGAGTACTTTATCTACTACTTCTTTATAATAATTTTTTTAACTGAGGGGCTTTTGTTTCCACTTATGAAATATGGGATCATTCTAGAAATTCTTGAAAACCCTAAAGTAAAAAAAAAAAAATCCCCTATAGTTGCACCCAAAGTGAACCACTCTTATTATCTTTGTGTTTTCGGTTATCCACACCTTTGTCCTTAGACATATTTATGCATTGCTAACTGCGTGACAGGCCCATGTTCAGTGTTACTGAATTCTCATCTTCTATTATGTAGAGAGGAGCCCTGGTGGCTTAGTGGTTACGAGTTGGGCTGCTAACTGCAAGGTCAGTAGTTCAAAACCACCAGCCACTTCTCAGAAGAAAGACCAGGCTTTCTATTTCCATAAAGAGTTACAGTCTGAGAAGCTCCCAGGGAAGCTCTACCCCGTTCAGTGTGGTCGCCATGAGTCAGAGTTGACGAGATGGCAGTGAGCTTGGTTTTGGTTTCCATGATGGAGAGGTTCTGTGTCCATTTGCATATCGTCGCCACCCCTCGGCCGCCTCTTGTTCTCACGGTGCCACAGTGCAGGACTTGAGGCAGGCGAGATAGTGAATGCACGATGGATGTACATTTCCCAGTACGGGGGCAGGCACTGATGTCTGCCATCCTATCTCTTGGGTCTGTTTTGAAAGTCTTGCTCCCTGCCCTTGAGTCGGTTATAACTCATAGCAAACCCTGTGGAAAGAGTAGAGCTGCCCCCTGTGGGCTTCTGTGACTACATCTTTACGGAAGTAGAAACGCCTTACCTTTCTCCTGCTTTTAGAGCCTACTGGTTAAGAGCTCTCTGTTGCCATTGTCACGAACATTTCTACAGTGACAAGGACAGTTTTATAAGTTAGCCTCAGTTTTTGAAAGCCAACATTTCCCATTCTTACCAAAAACCGAAACCAAAGCCACTACCATCAAGTCGATTCTGACTCACAGCCACTCACACGTAGGGTAGAGTCGAAGTGGCCCTTTGGGTTTCTGAGACTCTTACATCCTCTCAGGAGCAGCAACTGCTTCATATTTCCACTGAGGAGCGACTGCTAAGGGCTCAAACTGATGACGTCTCGGTTAGCAGTTCGATGCGTAGCCCACTATGCCACCAGGGTCCCTTTTCCCATTCCTTTCTCACTGCCATCACATCTGTGCCAACTCATTGCGACCCTATAAGGGAAGGTAGAACTGATTTTGCAGTTACCAGCCCAATGGTAGCCTACTACCCTACAAGGGCTCCTACCCTTCTTAGGAGCTCTGAATTTCTTTTATTTTCTTCTTTGGATGGAGCTCTGGATGCTTGAGAGCCTATCTCTGTTGGTGGCAGAGATTTTGAGTCCCTCAAATATCTGTGGGGCTTCCTCAAATCTTTCAGCCCGTATGTAGTTAGGCAAGACCAGATGGCTTCTGGGCCGAGGCCTAAGCAAATAGGCATGCACCCACACACACTGCACACTGTCTTCCTGGATGTGCTGATCTGAACGGTCACACAGTGAGCTAGAAGTCATCAGGTGAAATCATCTTGGGTCTTCAAGGCACTGCTTGCAAAGAAGGAACCCTGATGAGCCACCAGCCCACAATGAACTTTGTGTGAGTAAAAAACAAACAATACTCCAACTGCCATGTGTTAAAATGCCAATGTCTCATGGTTTGTATGCTATTCTTGTATAGCCCATCCTTCAAAGGCGCCCTGGCAGCACCGTAGGTTAAGCACCAGGCTGCTCACGACAAGGTTGTAGTGCAAACTCACCAGCCACTCTAGGGGAGAAAAATGAAGCTGTCTGCTCCAGTAAATATTTACAGTTTCAGAAACCCCAGCGAGCAGTCCTGCTCTGTCTGATCAAGTTACTGTTGACTCAGGATCAACTTGATAGCAGTGTGTGGGTTTACTAATTAACCAAGGTTCATCCTTTTGAAGATGGAAAAACACCACTTTGGGAATTGAGACTAACCTCAGTCTTCTGTCTGTTGTCTACGTCTTGTGGAGGGGCCTGCTCTTTCTTCTTTGGAGTAGTTGAAAAGATAGTTGAGCCTTCCTAAAGGCTCAAAACGTGGTGGCTGCTTTGGCCATAAATTGTGCTTCAGTGTGTATATGGGTTTGAGGAGTGAAGTTAGAGACAGCCTCTCCTTTTCATCGTACTCAGCCCAGTTCTGGTACCTTAGGAAGCTGTGGCTTGAGGATCCAGCACCATCAGCACCTGTGGTTCAGACATCAGCCCTCTTTGAGAGGGGGGATCATACTCAAAAGGCCTCAAAGGCAGGTGGGCATCAACCAAGGTTGTCAAGAGTATAGAGCATGAGTTCCCAAACTTATTTGACTTACTGCCCCCTTTTTGGGGGTGGGGTGGGGGGAATTACTCACCACCCCACTGGCAGTTAACTTTCCCAGTATAGCCCAGAATCTAGGATAAAGTGTAGGTATCTGCTTTGTAGCACTCACCTCCAGGTGGCAGTATCGCTCCCTTTGGAAAACACCTTTTGATGGCCGACAGGCTGGTCTGTGAGTCATAGCTGAGAACTCCTTTTGGGAAAAAAGAAAGAAAGAAAGAAAGAAAAAGAACTCTTTTAAGTAATGCTATAAATAGTTAGAATGCATCATAGTAAGGTTGGCGAGGAAGCTGAGGTCCAGCCAAAAAAGTGGGTGGAAGCTTAGAATTATTGCAATTTAGGCATGGAATGTTTTTTGTGGCCCAACTTGTACTCACCAGCTCCAATAGCTACTATAACTCTATGCAATGTAATATTTATACCAGTCTCCTCATGAGGACAAAGTTCTCTCTTTTCTTGCTGCCATATGGCAGGGATTAGAGATGGAATTTAGGACTGGAGAAAAGTGCTCCTGGCTTTCCCAAGCAGCAAGGAACATGGGAGAGGGAGGCTGAGAGCTGCCATGGCCTGCAGTGTAAAAGGGTTCTCATGTCAGTGGCCAGGGAACCGCTGCTTAGCTGTACTAGAGGACACTGTGTACACCAACCAGTCTATCCCTCAGATTTTAGTCTACAATGTTTAGGGAAAATGTCAAGGCACCACCTGGGATCCAGGTAGAAGATGTGGACACATACATTTGAGCTCCTTAACTGTATTGAATTAAATTGTACCAGTTACTAATACATACTAAATTATACAATTATGTGTATGTATACAACACACATATACAGACTACCAAACACCTCGGAAGTATTGATAGTGGTCACTGGTGGCTTTTTGTTTTTGCTCTTTAATTTTCCAAATTTCCTTCATGGACAAGTATTATATCTACCATAGAAAGAAAAGAGTTCTTTGGTCACTAGACACACTTCTTGCCCCTTAGCTACATAAAGTCTTCTCGGACCCAAGCTATGGCTCAGACTCTTCCATCCATTCTGATCTGTGGGCCTCGTAGAGATCTTCAACTGGTCAGAGCATCACAGCAAAGCAATGACCACCCCACCGCAGCTCTCAGCATTGAAACTGGATGTATGTGTGAGGGAGAATGAGGCAAAGCTGACTGATGACTTATTTTAAAGCCTGGGCATTGAAGTCTCCTGTCTGATTTCATTTCCTTTGGTGTGAGATCCTTTTAAGGAGAAATCATTGTGCGGTTGTCTATTTTCTCTCCAGCTAAAAGTCAGGGACTGGAAGGGAGAATTGCCATTTTTAGAAGTAAATGGAAAATAAAAGCAGGTAATTGCTTTGCTAACAACTGTGTGTGTGTGTGTGTGTGTGTGTGAGAGAGAGAGAGAGAGAGAGAGAGAGAGAGAGAGAGAGAGAATATCAGGGGGTGTTTATATTGGTCTCGATGTTAAAGGTTAGTGAGGAAAGAAAAGTCTGATGCTCATGTGTTCCCATCATTGAATCTGGAACCAAAGCTGGATGAAGTTGCTTATCATTCTGGCCACAATGCTAAAAACAACGTAGGGAAAGAACCTTGGACCCTGTTTTGCTTGCTCCACTGAACTGCCTCAATGTGTAGACTTCCATCCGTTGCATTTCCTCTTCACAGAGGCTATAAGCACCTCTGCTCCTAGAATGAAATGTAAATGAATCACATGCTTGCCTTTTTTTTTAACCCCCTACAGATCATTGGCTTCACGGTAGTTGCAAACAAGCTCAGCATGGCTACAGAATCCAGCAAGGTGCTCATTGAGATGATTCCATATAGGTGGGTAATTCCACTTTCCAGCGCTGCTTTTCCTTTTCAGGGTCTCTGGTGGTGTAGTGGTTATTCATTCAGCTGCTAACCACAAAGGCGGCTGTTCAAAACCACCAGCCACTCGGACAGAGAAAGACTCCCTTAAACAGTTATAGTTTTGGAGACTGACGGCGGCAGTTCTACCCTGCCCTATAGTGTTGCTATGAGTCAGCATTGACTTGATGGCAGTGAGTTTGGGTTTGGTTGGTTTTTTCCTTTTCTGTTACCCGCTCTCCATCTCTGACCACACAGGCCAATTGACAATTTCTATAAGTAGTCTTTGGCCATAGCCAAGCGAGGGCCCTGGGCTCCTATCATGTTAGAATGGAGAGGCTCGCTAAAAGAGAAGGGCCAGGACCGCGCCTCGCTCCTCTCTGGTCAGTCTCTGTTCCTCTTCCCTAAATTGAGCCAAAGCCTTCCCAAGACAGCTCCTCCTGGATGGCCCTGCATAACGGAGGGCACTGGGCACTGTCCCTTCCCCGGCTACAGACTTCTCAGGGACAGTACAGAGGTGACTCTGTCCCCACCCCCCAGAAGAGGATAGTTCCTTTCCACTTCACTCATTGAGACTGAGGGCGTCCCTGGAAGCATCTTCAAGCAGTCTGGCATAATGGAGTTCTTAAGGACTCACATTGATGTGCTCTTTAAATTATTTTATTGGGAACTCTTATAGATATCATAGCATTCCATAGTTCAATCGTATCAGGCAGTATTGGGAAATTGCTACCACAATCATTTTCAAACCATTCTCTTTCTTGTTGAACTCCATGATATCTCACACTGAGTTTTATATTCTAGTTCCTCTCAGTGGTGATGGGGTAGCACTCTTGCCTCTGTTAGGAAGCAGCAATTTCTTGAGCCTCCATAAGATGAACCATGTTAGCTGTTTAATAGTTTCTTGATGCCCTGTCAGGATTTTGACTTATTTCCTCACATTTGACAACAGGAGAAATACTGCCAAGAGTAGCCAGGGATTCTGGATCAACTCCAGGATAATGAACACTGGCCGCTTGGACACAACCAGTTGAAACTGGTCTCTGATCCTACCCAAGTCAGTAAGACCTGTTGAGGGTGCCATCCATTCAAAAGTCCACTCAGTATTTTCTTTTATTTTTTTTCCCACTCAGTGTTTTAAAAGAACATTAGCAGACACTATTTAGGCAATACAGAGATAAATAAGCCCTGAGGAAAACAACAGTAGCAACGGGAATTGACATTTTATTTTATTTGACCCTTGAGGTTATATATTTATATACAGTGAACCCTCGCCACTTCGCGCTTCGACTTCCGCAGCTTCACTCTATCGCGGTTTTTGCATAACAGCGCATGCTCTGTCATTACTGCCACTGATTGGCTCATACTGTACACGCTTGATGCCATAAATAATATAATAAATAATAAATGATCATTGTAACGTCCAAAATGTTTTACTGTATTTTCCCTTTTTCGTTGAATAAATTGGGTAATACGAGTGTAATGGTGACTAAAGGGTGTTTTTTCATGTCCTCTATGCTCTAACTACGAAAATATTTGATTTACAAATAAGGAACCCTACTTCGCGGAATTTCATTTATCACGGTAGGGTCTAGAACCGATTAACCGTGATAAACAAGGGTTCACTGTATATGCAATCCCCCTTTCTTTTTTTCTATCAATCTTCTTTTTAATTGTAAAAATATATACCAAGATTTTACAATTCAGTATTTTCATGTGTACACTTTAAAAATATATCCCTTTGTTATACTGTTACTATCATGATTGATTTTCAAATGTTAAACTAACTTTGCATTTTGGGGATAAACTGTACCTAGGCATGGTGTAATCCATTTCATATACCAATTTGCTAAAGTATTAAGAATGCTTGAGTTTATGTTCATGAGAAATATTGGTCTGTAATTTTCTTGTAATGTTATTTTTGGGGCTTACTAATGTCATCTTTGGGCTTTAGACTGATGTGGGCATCATAGAAGGAACAAAGAAGTCGCTTCGCTTCTTCAATTTCTGGAAGAGTGTCTACAAAATTGGTTGCATGTCTTCCTTAAATATGTGGTAGAATTTCAGTCAAGCTATTTGGGAAAGGTTTTAATTATAAATTCCTTTTTAAAGCATAGACTTACATAAAATGACTAAGGTTATAATAATAATGACAATCCATATTTCAGCTGATCTATTTCTTCTTGGTGAGAGGAGGAGGCGGCTGGCTGCTCTTGTAGACATTAACCATCTCAGGAACCCTGTGGGGCAGTTTTATTCTGTCCTTACAGGGTCACTGTGAGTCAGAATCGACTCAATGGCAGTGGATGGGATTTATTCTTTAAAATATGTTGTTTTAAAAGAATTTAAAAAAAAAAGAATTTGTCCACTAAACCTAAGTTGGCAAATGCATATCCTCTTATTAACTTGCGCTAATAACCGGTTTATTGACATAATTCACACATCATAGAATTCACTTAGGAATATCATTCCGTAGATTATATTATACTCATGGAGTTGTGCAGCCATCACCACGATCTACTTTAGAGCATTTTCATCAACTCCAAAAGAAGCCCTGTGCCCATTAGCAGTCCCTCTGGATTCTCCCTTTCCCTCAGTCCCTGGCAACCACTAATCTCCTTCCTACGTCTGTTGATGGTCCCATTCTGGACATTGCACATAAACAGCGTCATACGATGTATGGTCTTTGGGGCCTGGCTTCTTTCATAGTGCCATCAAAGTTCATTCATGTTGCAGCATCTATCAGAGGTTCATTCTGCTTGTGACTGAATAGTATTCCATTGTATGGATATGCCACATTTGTTGATCCAATTGCCGGCGATAGAGGATACTTTTGGTTCTTCTGAATAATTCCACTATGAATATTTGTACAAAAGGCTTGGTATGGACATACATTTTTAGTTCTCTTGGGTCTATACCTGGCAGTGGCATTGCTGGATCACATGATGACTGTTTTTCACTTTTTGAGAAACTGCTCAACCGATTCCCAAAGTGACAGCAAATTCCTACCAGCAATATGTGAAGGTTCAAATTTCTCTTCTTCACCAACACTTGTCCATGCTTTCCGCCATATCCATCCCATGGAGTGTGCCTCCATGTCTTACCGAGTAGAATAGCTCTGTTGGGTTTTATTCTCTGTAAGCTTTATGAAAACAGATCACCAAGCCCTTTGTCTTTGGCACTTCTGGGTGGAGTTGAAGCACAAACTTTAGGTTGATAGCCTAGTGCAAACCTTTTGCACCCTCCTGTGGCCATGAGGCAGGAGTCCCTGGTGGCGTAGTGGTTATACCTTGGGCTGCTAGCCTCAAGGTTGGCAGTTCAAAATCACCAGCGGTTCTGAAGGAGAAAGATGGGGCATTCATTCTACTCCTGTAAACAGTTACAGTCTGGGAAGCTCACAGGGGCAGTGCTATCCTTGCTCGCTCTGAGTTGGCACTGACTCGATGGCAGTGAGTTTGGTTTGTTAGGTTTTGAGTGACCAGGAGCTGGAATTGACTCGAGGTAGTGGGAGTTTGTTTGTTTTGTGAGTGTGCTGTACTGCAGTGTGCTCGTTGTAGTTCTATTTGTATTTCCCTAATGACAAATGATGGTGAGTTATCTTCTCATGTGCTTATTGGCCAGTTCTGTCTTCTTTGGAGAAATGTCTGTTCAGATCCTTTGTCCACTTGTAAATCAGGTTATCTCTTTATTATTGAGTTAGAGTAAGTCTTTATACGTTCTGGATATGTCGCTTATCAGACATGTAATTTGCAAATGTTTTCTCCCATTCTGTGGATTGGCTTTTCATTTGTTTCCTCAATAGTTTTACCGAGCTATAGATCATATACACTTCCACAGTACAGTCATACTTAAAAAGAGCTGTATATACATCACCACAGTCAATTTTAGAGCATCCTCCCCCTCCTATATTCATTCTTTGCTCTTCATTTCCCTCCAACCACCCCTACTTGTAGCCCTGATAATTCTTATAATTATAATTAATAATTATTGTCTCTATACATCTACCCATCCTGTGCTTTATGTACTGGAAAATCTACCCAAAAAGTAAGTTTAAAAACTAACAGCAAATCTATGTTAAAAGAGAGAGAAAAAACCAACAATAAGGTCAAACTAAGTGAAAGTACAAAACATGTCGAGAAAAAAGGCAGGAAATATTGAAAGCCAGATGAATCAAAAATGGATCAAGAGGGAGAGTTTATGACCAGATACCACAATATAACCTAACTCCATCAGCCATAGTCAAGTTTTTAATAGTCTCTGTCTGATAGCATGGTTATTCACACTCCTTGACTGTGGTCAGAGAGGATCCAGCAGAGGTTTCTTCTATGCAGAGTCCCTGCAGATTGATTTGGGACCCCTATGCCATCCTAAGCCTTCTGAAAATTGGGTGCTCACAATTTAAACTCTGAGACTTTTCTCTACTTTGGATTTGGATTTTGTTATTTATCGTCTGTGGATCATACAGGTTGGTGTGTTTCTTCCATGTTGACTTAATTGACGTTTCACTTAGAGGGTTGCTTATTTGAATACAAGCCTTTTGAGACCTCAGACAATATTCTTTTTGATAGCCAGGCACCATCTGCTTTCTTCACCAGACTTTGTTGTAGCACCCAATCTCTTCACGTGATCTCTTCATGAGGGTGAGGGTCAAGCAGGGCCCTGCCATAGAACTAATTGGTTTTGGATTGGGGCTAGAATTAAGTGGGAGCCCCACATCCAGTCAGTTGTCTATGGATTGTGTCTTTTTATCTTCTTTCTTTTTTTTTTCTTTTTTAACATTTTATTAGGGGCTCATACCTTTTTATCTTCTTGATGGTGTCCTTTGAAGCACAAAAGTTTTGAATTTTGATGAAGGCCAATTTACCTAATTTTTTTTTATTAGTATCTATTTGAATCCTTTTTCCTTTAATGAGACTTGTTTTATTACCCAGGGTATGGTCTTTCTTCATGAATGCTACACGTACACTTGAAAAGAA